TCTGTGGCGGTTTAATAAATGACACTTATTATTCTAGCAGAAAACAGCCTGAGAGTTTTCATTCATTGCTCCGACCTTTCCCTGAACCTGTATCTTTTTTGTTCAAGATAATTTCACAGAACAGATGGATATCCATGTTCCTTAATTTAATCAATAATCCTTCCTTCCATAACATATCATATGCCTTCTCTATATCAAAGAACACCGCTATCACCAATTCTTTATTTGTTTGTGCTTTTCTTATTTCTGATTCTAGGCACAATATTGCATCCATTGTATTTCTACCTTTGCGAAAACCACTTTGATACGGGCATAATGCATTTTTTGCTTTCAATAAAATATGTAAGTATCTATTACAAGCCTTTCCATTATTTTCCCTAATTGTGAGGTAATTGCAATTGACCTATAATTAGATGGGTCATTTGCCTTTTTCCCTGGTTTTAACACGAGAATTATTGTTGACCGTTTCCATTCTACGGGAATATGTCCAGTTTTCCAAATCAAGTTAAAGAACTTTAATAAAACAAAAATTGATGATTTATCTAAATGTTTAAGCATTGTATAACGTATTCCATCTTTACCTGGTGTTGTTTGTCTAAAATTAATAATAGCTTTTTGTAACTCATTTATATTGAAGGGCATATCAAGATCTAGATCTGAAATCACTCTGAACATTTATGTCTGTGTTTTCAGATATTAATTTTTCTTTATTTCTTTTTATATCTTCAGATATATTTTCAGAACTAATGTATTTTAATTATTGTTTCTGCTAATAGTTCTGCTTTCTCTTTATTACTACCTGCTATCTTCCCATTTAGTTCTAGAACAGGTAAAGAAAAAGTTTTATTAACACCCTTCATTTTTTTAATAACTCTCCACACCTCCGCTAGCTTGGTTTCCCTTCCTATCGAGTTGCAATATTGTCTCCAACATGCCTTTTTTGCTGTTTTTACAGTTTTCCAAACTATAGCTTGTGCTTTTTAAAATTGTATTAAAGCCTCTATGGTATGGTATTTTCTTATTAATTTAAATGCTTTATTTCTTTCTCTTATAGCATTGCTACAATGCTCATTCCACCAGGGAACAGATTTTGTTAATTCCTCTACCTTTAGTTTTGGAAATTGAAGTTTTAGCTGCAGTAATGATGACAGATACAATCTTTGAATGACACATCTCCACATCGCTAAACATGTTTTTATTTAGTTTATTAAATTGGATATCTACTAAATATTTAAATAAGTCCCAATTAGCCTTATTTAATCTCCATCTTGGTATCTGCCCTTCCTCCTCAATTTTTACTTCAGTACCAACTGTTATTTTAATAGGAAAATGGTCACTACCCATGGGAGAATCACTCAGCACCTCCCAAGATGTAATTCCCACTATTGTATTAGATACTAACGTTAGGTCTATAATACTTCCTAGATTCCTATTACAGTCATATCTAGTATGGCTACCGTCATTAACGCATACCATTGAATGTGAGTCAAGGAACTCTTCAATTACCACTCCATTTGCATCTGTATTTTTACTTCCCTATAATTTATTATGAGAATTGAAATCACCACACCACAAAGTCTTGCCAACATTCTGTAAATTTACTTCATTGAGTTCTTGAATGGACAATTTTTTGTTCGTATTATAAAAATGTATCACTGTAGTCTGACCATTTTCTATCCAAATTTTTATTACTATTGCTTCATGATTTTTACTAATTGATTCTACTTTATATCTTAGACCATTCTGTATAAAAGTTGCCACTCCCCCACCTTGTTTTTTCCTCCTGTCATTTCTAATTGCTGAATATCCATGTATTATGAAGTCCAATTGGGGTCTAATAATAATAATAATAATAATACTTAATTTATAAAGCCCTTTAAAACAACCACAGCTGCCACAAAGTTCTGTACATATAAAATCAAGAACATTTAAACACATAAAAACAGTTGTTAAAACATTAAGATCAATAAAAGTAATAAAAACAGTGCAGATCAAATTCAGTGTGTGCTAAAAGCCAGGGAGTAAAAATGTGTTTTTAAAAGAGTTTTAAAACTGGACAGTGAAGGAGCTCGTCTGATGGGAAGAGGGAGATCATTCCACAGTCTTGGAGCAGCAACAGAAAAAGCTCTGTCCCCTCTGAGCCTCCGCTTGGACCTCGGCACCTCCAGGAGCAGCCGATCAGCTGACCTGAGGCACCGAGCAGGAGAGTATGGGTGAAGCAGCTCAGAGAGGTAGGATGGAACAAGACCATTTAAACTTTTAAAAACAAAAGAATCTTAAAATTGTAATGACTAGCGGAACCCAGATTGGTACAAGACCAGAACGAAGCAGACTCAGATCTTAGAAAAGAGGAAACAGTGTTTATTATATACAGTGTAGGGGGTTTGTATACATATATGGCAGTCCTCCGGCGATCAGATGTAGGCGTCGGGAACCAGGGTAGGGCGGAATGTACAAGCAGGTCTGGCTGGAGAAAACAGGACGACAGGACTGGCAACAGAATCCGCTCGACGAGTCTGGCAGATGAGTGGCTCGACAGGTCTGGCAGGCAGGTAGTTGATGAGGCAACAAGGATGGAGTCAGACAGGCAGGGTACTGCGGGCATAAAGAACAAGATGAGAGTATGTCGTATACTCACACGTTTAGGCTGGAGGCATAAATACCAATAAAGCTCAATGCTCCAGCAATGAGTCACACAGGACTGCAGCCTTAAGTAGAGGTGTTCCTCATCAGGTGGATGGCC